GAGCAGATACGATTTCTACTGTCCCGCTGAAACGTGTTTTTATGTTCGTGCCAGTTCCGTTAGTCATTTCAATGTACTGGCTAACTTCATTGGATGGTGGCCACCTGTTATTTTTTTCTCCTTTTCAGTGTGGCATGCTGGAATGTTTTCCTCTTTTGTGCCCAGGCCTTAAGGAGTCTTCACCCTAACCTTTAGAAGAACATTCCACAGAACACTTCAGCCACTACAGATTCATGGTCACTAAAAATGTCATTGTTTCAAAATGAAGCTTTAGTATTTGAAGTCCGAAAATGTATTACGCTTGCGTCCCAGGTTCCATTTGTTTATTGTATTGTAAGGTAAACGCCCTGACATGGGCCTTCCCTCCATGCGGGAATCGGCTTCGGTGTTTGACAGTGCACAAAGGGGTTTACTGCAACCACCCTTTTCTGATCTTCCTTTAGCTCTCGTTTCGAGTAATGCATGAAGCTCATGGCCGAAAAGGTGTGGCCAATGATAACAAAACGGAAACATGTGGCTGGCAGATTGGCACACGAAAGCAACACAAATATTATCTACCTCCAGATTCCTGCTTCACGTTGCTTTAAAGAATGATGTTGCAAAATTTGGAGTTATCGAATATTCAAAGGAAGGATAAAATATGTCCAGGTCGATATGGAACATTCCATGTGTCTACTTGTGGCTGTTTCATGACAAAGAGAATGTAATCGGCGATTCAACCCATGGAATACCAGAGACAAACCCACTATGTTGTAAGCTGTGAAAAGATGAGTTTGATTCTAAAGTGCTCTTAAGACAGATCAATCGCATCACTGCGACTCGTTCACAAGTGTTTGTGTCGAAACCAGCTTGGTTTTTAGTTTTTTGGGAATTGTTAGATGATAACAAAAACACATATCTTCTCATGAAGCAGTATTTGATTACATTAATGAAGGTAAAGCTTTCCCAGCGGTAACCCACGCAATGTATTTATTTATAATTCATGATGAGCTGTGGTTGAGTTTAAAAAAACTGTTGTTATTTTATTGTTCCTTTTGGACGCAACGCTCCGTACAAATATAGCAGACGCGGCGATCCGGTTGGCCTCACAGGTCCCACGCTCGCCGTGCGGGAACCTTCTTAAAGGGGGAGCCCTGCTTCCCACAGTCTCCCTGCACGGATTTTCTCAGGCCTGTGCCAAGTGTCTCAAAGGATTGATGATCCCAGTGGGATGGAGGGAATGTTTTATTGCGGTGCAGTTAAAATTATTGGTGATGAATAATGCCCTCTTAGCATATAGGTTCTCTACTGCGTTATGATCCCAGGCTAAAATTCCACTCTGCCCGCTATATCGTTCGTACATTTCTTACTGTAGTGTGCAGGGGCTTTCTCGTCCGTTATAAATGCTCACGTGTGCAGTGTATCTAATTATCCCTAGCTTTTCTCAGCCTTGTCCCCTTCAATTAGATGTTCATGGGGCATGCCTGTACGTAAAGGAAGTTGTATTTTCATTGTCACCCACTATGTCCTGTGCATTATCGGCTGTGAATCTTTTCCGGTCACACGTCGCACATGTTATGTATGTTCATTGTCCATTGAGAAGTGTGTAGCTGGGGGGGGGGGGGAAACTTCATATTTTCCCAGCATTTCATCTTCCATTCGGGTACTGTAAATGTTAATGAGGATACTATATAAGAATTCATCTTCTTGGTTCTTTCGGTAAAGTCACGTAGAAGGGAAATAATAAAATAAAAATTCTCACGACGTTTCGGCCACAACACAAGCAGCCGTCCTCAACATTGGGACGCTGTCTTTCCGACAGCTCTGTTTCTTCACCTGAGGGCGGCTGCTTGTGTTGTGGCCGAAACGTCATGAGAATTTTTATTTTATTATGTTTTATGTTTACTATTTTATTATTTCCCTTCTACGTGACTTTACCGAAAGAACCAAGAAGATGAATCCCTGCAGTCACGAAAGCTTTAAATCGAAATATATAAGAATTATTTGTTTTATATAAGCCATAAATAAAATATTGGTATCCTTGAAGGCAAGATGTTTATAGTAGACGTGGTAACATAATTGGTGCCTCAACAGCAACAGTTCGGTCTGGCTAATTGGATCTTGAGCAGTAAGTAATTAGAATTTTCTAGGGGGAATTACAGCAGCCACCACAGCTGGGATACGTTGGCCATGTGGTCCTAACGAAATGTCCCTAGATACCAGCGCCTACCCTTCCCACAGCGTCACTGCCTACACACCACCGCTACCCTCACAGTAACACTGCTATGCTATGTAATTCATTTATTAAATACATGTCTAGGAGTAGTATTTATTATGCTGTATTCATCGGTTAGTACTTTCCCACTAAAATCAGCATCGGGAAATGCTAATCTCAAGTTTATCACCCTGAATTAATGGTGGAAATGCTATATGATATACTCCACAGAAATACCAGTAATGACTTCCCACAGAGCAGAAATGGAGTGATGGTCCGTGCAGAAGCGAGAGACGCATTGTGGCATGAGGGACGACATCAGAAAGGAAAGGCCACCATCCAGCAGTGGATAGATCATGGCTGATGATATAAGAACAGGAGACAGCAGTGCCTCACCATTCTGGCGAATTGCCCGATGATGCTGGATGCAATTACCAGCGAAACGTCGTACTCAAAAATTGTAAATGTTGTGGTTTCACGCTTCAACACACTGGTGGGCTAAAGCAGTGAACTATTTGTCTTTTGTCAACGTGACACTTTTTTACTGATTGGACGTGTCGGGTGGTGGAGGGTTACGACACATTTATAAATAACGCGATCTAAACCCGAAAACGTTGATTATGAATAATATTGGTCGTGAAAGCCTACGTGTTAAACTGATGATGATATTGGTGACTGTGTAGTGCAGATTTGTACTCTGCCTTTTAAGTTCAAATTTTGACCGCTCTGTGATCGGGATTTGAACTTACAATTATCCGCTTTAGCGAGTCACACGCTCTAACCAAACCCCCCCTCAGCCAGCGATAAAATTGGAGCGTTACAAACATAACAAAAACAAACTTAAACTTACTCGCACATTAAGTCTGACTTTGTCAAGAATTATTTTCTTCTCTACAGGAAGTACCATGCAGAATAACAAAGGTGTTGTTATATGAGAACATTGCATTGGCTTTTTTTGTTAAACAAAATGATTATGGATTTTTAAACTTAACTTTTGCTTGGTAGGATAATTGGCCTGTCCTGTGGCCATATATGGCATTATTAAAATCGGGCAGTAATACAGTAACTCTATCATATCGAGATCAAAGTATAAAATAACAGCGACATTGCCGGTTATATAAGGAATGATTCAAGAGTGTATGATATGGAAGGCTTTATTCAAAGTTAGTTGGTCTGTTTATATATTTGAAGGTATGTAAGGTCTTGTAACGGATGCCCGTAATGCCCTTTTGAAGCCTTACTTTCTCCAGATCAGAGACCAAGGCCAAACAAAGAACACGTGCGTTAATCTTTTCAAGACAGGAGTCTAGTGAAGTACATCTTGTTTTGTGTATCGTCGCATAGTTTGTTGATATCAAAGGGGAGCATCCGTGAGAGGCGTGCTTGCCTTAGTCTCGCGTTGAGCCGATTTGTGGGCCGGCTTGAGTCGACCAGCTGAGATCTGTAGATTCTGGGGTGCAGGTGCCTCAACATCCCTGCACTAAGCCAGGGGTAACCTAATAGGGAGAGGGGTGGTATCTGACAACTAGTGTTTCTGCCTCACTCGGGGAATCCACTGCTACAAAAAGTGCATGCTGGCTATATGCCGTTCATCCCGCCCCTGACTGGGATGTCCAGCGTGTGCCTTGTGAAATCGTCATTTTGAAGAAGCGCCCAATGCGGGGAGGTGTGCGCGCATGATCCACGAGGTGGAATTCTTCCGTGCAAAGGTGATTCGTGAATTGTGCAAATAAAACACGTTTTTGGATATTGGTGCGCTAACAATAAATGGATGTCCGTGTGCGTGCTCGCTCATAGTGTGTAGGCGTTTGGGTAATTGAAACTATACATTTTAAGCAATTCAGAGACTCGATGCAGCAGCATTGAAGAAGGTTATTAGCGTGTCTAGACCGTGCGGTCTCCCTGCACGAAGTGACACTTTCCCTCCCATCATAAATTCGAGCTTTGTGCTCCTATGAGCAGCACAGCAGCGCCTGCTGTGTGGGTTTTGCTACTGAAGTGTGTTGGAGGGGGGGGGGGGGCTCACTGGAGGGGATTTTCACCACAATAGACCTTGTTTTCCACGCTAGCACTGTATAGTCAATACAAGCAGAGGCCAGCCACTGTGCCCCTGCTTCAAGGCTCTCAGCATTCTCTCGATGATTTACAAAGCACTGTACTGAGCATATGATTCATGACTTTGAATTCATCTCACTGATGAAATGTTCATTTGATAGCCATCCCGTGTCGATACTATATGGGTCCTCTTGCCTTTGTAAGGATCGCACACTTGATTAATTGTAAGTCGGGTGCTTAGAATAATGAAAACTCGTTTCCTCATAAGAAGTACCAAAAAAAAATATATTAAAGGCGCTGTGTCTCTGATGGTCGTGTGTAGCACGGGTGTGATTGCCGAGGGCCCCTGGCGCAGGCATATGTGCTCTGGCTATGATCAATAGTGGCATGTTGGGTCACGTATTTCCATGATCCAGAGTAATCCTTTGGAATTATGGTCCGAGGAAATGGATAGCATGACTGGCTACTGCACACATATATACTTTCACATGAAGCAAATAAGTATGGATATATATTGTAGGCCTTGTTTTGCGCTGGCCCTAGCACGTAGATTTTATGATGCGAAGTAAGAATAATTTATTGGTTCTGGTTGTTATCGCTGTAGTTGGTGTCGTGCAGGATTAGGTAGTGAAAGGGACTGCTGCCTTGTGAAATAACCACTCCATGCCTTTCACAGAAGCTCCCGCTGCGTGCAGTGCTGCACTGCTTGCAGTACCTAAAACTGCTTCCCGTCTTATTCGCCTGTGCTCAGAGTGGCCCAGGCGTACCAGAACCAGCGGCGTCTCGATGCCGAGGCCAAGACGCTGCAGGTGCAGGCGGCGCAGTTTGCCAAGCAGACGGTGCAATGGCTGAACATGGTGGAGAATTTCAACCAAGCTCTCAAAGTATGCGCCAGACACACGAACACACATCCTGTGACCCTTGACGCCGCGGGATACAGCTCAGGGAACTGTCGTCGCGCAATTGGGATTTAAATAATCCAGCCCTTTTGTGATTCATTTAACGTTTTAATATTCTTCTTATCATTCAAAGATCCTGTTGTTGCATGAGGTCGCCTTCTTGGATTTTCTCCCTCCATGTACTTATATTCCATTGAGCCTCTCACGTCCCCGACATTATCCTCATATGTCGTTCTACCGCAACATTCCATTCTCCCTGAACTCCTCGTGCCCAGCACTTGCATCTCCATAATTCTTTGAATTTGTTGACGTAAAATATTTATTCTTGGATCAATAATTCCACCGGCACAATTATGACGAAATCTTATGTGCGCATCATTTATTATCTATTGTTCATTTAAATTTAAATCCACTTATGCACACCCAACATTTTTGCGTATTTTTAATATAGTAGTAGGTTTATCGTGATATGAAACAACTGTAGTTATTCATAAACAGATTAAATAGCTATAGGCAACAAACATCCTCATTGGGTTAGGCTGGGCTCAAGTTATCTCTGGGCAAAAAAATTCAAATTTGCCTGCCGAAGAGAAATGGCTGCTGTTCCCCGAGCTGAGTTATGACTGCATTTTCATTTAATTATCTGTCAATTGTTGGAACCTTTTCCAGCTGAATAAGCGGGCTTGGCATGTTTGCATTTGAATATTTTTGGCTGCCAGGACTATTGCCATTTCAGAGCCCATGGAAAACCGCAGTGTGTTATAAAATATCCACGGTAGCAATTGTGGTGCGAAGATGAGCTTTGTTTTTTTTTCGATTTTAAGCTTTCGTGACTGCAAGGATTCATATTCTTAGGTTTTTTCGGTAAAGTCACGTAGGTAAAAATTAAAATTAATAAAAATAAATAAAATAAAACAAAAATCACGACGTTGCCTCCGAAACGTGATTTTTGTTTTATTTTAGCTAATTTTATTTATTTTGATGTTTTACCTACGTGACTTTACCGAAAAAACCTAAGAATATGAATAAGAAGATGAGCTTTGTTGTGTAGTAGGCAGTTGTCATTTCATACCTGAGTAATTTTCATCGCTACGTTGCTTGAATGTCAGTGGCATCATTCTTTCTCCTAGCCAAGGTTACTTGAATGGAACAAAAATTACATAGCTTTATCTTCCACGTCGTTTCATAATTTACATTTTTTTTTATCCACCACTATCGTAAATCGACAATGGTCTCTTTTCAAAATATACATCCTAACGTAATTCCCGATACAAAACAATAATACTGGATAAGAGTAGAACGTTGGAGCTGAACGGTGAGCATGGTAAAGCTATGGCAGCGTGTTTCTGACGTATGTGCCTGACACTGCTGTGTGCCATCACAGGAGATTGGAGACGTGGAGAACTGGGCGAGGAGCATTGAGATGGACATGAGGACCATCGCCACCGCACTGGAGTACGCCTACAAGGGCTCAACTCCGGCCGTGCCGTAACCATTCATTTCATCGTAGGCTGATGCTAATCGTCAGGTGGTTCCTGGTCTGTTTATAAATACTGAGCTGCTGCAGCATAGCCACGCATTGGATTGTAATGTCAAAATACACTCGGATACTTTTTTTGTACGATCATATTTATTTGTAACATCCGTGAGGTGAAGCTGGTGGTTATATAGTTGTTATTGGAGATGTAATCAAGACAGATAGTATAAATGCAGTGCGATGATGCTCAATTGGCTGCTCCAAATCTGGCATGTATATCTAAATACTTGGAACAACTTAAAAAAAAAGTGGTCTCAGACACTGTATGAAAGGCCTGGTTGGCATGGCATTCCTTTTCCCAACATAAATTAAGTTTTGCCCGTTTGCTAATGCGGATGATATCTTGCATATAAGCACTTGGCTAAATTAAAATACGATTTGAGACTAGCATCTGTGTCGAAGTAATGCTTGCGGTAAAAAAGCTATGTTGTACATGCATTAGTGATATTGAGCTTTGCCACACCCTGGATAACCTCACAAATATATAAGGTCATTGATACAGCAGACCAATGTGTGTGACTGTCCTTCACATGTCTGTCAATTGCGTCTCATAAATCTACTTCTAATTAGCTAAATGCCATGTGAACTTGCGGCGATATTACGTATGCCTATAAAATGATTTCACGTTTGCTATGTGATTGTGACGTATGTGTAAATGCAGTCTTGATTTATGGTGCCATACGGAGTAGCAGCGTCTGGGCATTGAGTGTTCTGTGCCACTTGAATTGTCAGTCTGCACAGTAGGCGCTAAGTCCCCACTACACACACGAGCCTGTGGCTGTGATTTTGTGAATCGGTAACATCATATGGGCTCAATTTCGATTTAAAGCTTTCATGACTGCAGGAATTCATATTCTTGGTTTTTTCGGCAAAGTGACATAGAAGGGAAATAATAAAATAATAAAAATTAAACATAATAAAATAATTCTCACGACGTTGTGGCCACAACGCTGTCTTCCCGACAGACCTGTTCTTCACCTGAGGACGGCTGCTTGCGTTGTGGCCGAAACGTCGTGAGAATTATTTTATTATGTTTTATTTTTATTATTTTATTATGTTTTATTTTTAATATTTTATTATTTCCCTTCTGCGTGACTTTACCGAAAGAACCAAGAAGATGAATCCCTGCAGTCATGAAAGCTTTAAATCGAAATGCAGGTATTCATATTATTGGTTTTTTCAGTAAAGTCACGTAGAAAGGAAATAATACAATTATAATAATTTTCTTGCTGTGGTTTTCACACCTGATGATGATTGCTTGTGTTGCAATCGAAACGTCGTTATAATTTATAGTTTTATTTTTATTATTTTATTATTTCCCTTCTACGTGACTTTACCGAAAGAACCAAGAATATCATGGGCTCTTTTCAACATCTCATGGTGCAGTGGATGCTTTTTTGTAACATATGTACAATATTATAATAAAACATTACATTACAAATTGTGTCGTTGGTTGGTTATTCCATTAAAAAGCACACCAATGAAAGACGTGTGTGGTAAGATGAGCAGCAGTGAGAAGCTTACATCATCAGGAGGTGAAGAGGACAAGGCTGACAAGGGTCTCTGTTATGTACTCTCTTAATCAAACATTGCTGTCCTAATTGGCAGTAGATCGGAATTACACATTGTTCATCGTAGACACATACACTTGCAAATACAATCTAACGAGATATTTTATGTTATTAGGTGTATCATGCAATAGGTTTTTTGCTTGCAATATAAAATACGGTACAGTCATTTCCATGTTAAGCGTTTTCGGCGTATTTGGGTGACCTCGGGTTATGCTCGGGTAAATACACGGGGATTGTTAAATATTTACAGTACCCACCACGAAAGTAAACCCAGAATGGTCTGTACAAAATATAAAAGGCGTTTTGAAACCTAAACTTTTGTACCAAAAATACACTTTGTACCTACGGTTTGAGTAAGTCGCAAGTAATTAAAGTGCCCTCTTTAAGTCGGGCATGGTGACACATGAGGATAGTTGCATGTTTGTCTTTTTGGCTGTTTCTGCTCAGTTGCCCCTGACCGAGCAAGCAGCCGTTAATTTTTAATCCCTTTAAATTGTTCTTCTGTGAAACCGTGCTTGACATGGATTACCTTTGCATTCCAGTCTTACGTAAGGTTTAAGTATCGTTGGGATTTTTTAAAAGTTTGAATTAACTAAATTATTCATTCCTCCGCCACGTGTCTTTTTTTTTGTATTCGCTTGTGTTGGAAGCCAAGGTGGCCTTGTCCTGTGCGCGCACCTTTCGAACAAAAAAGTAAAGTTGCTGAAGGTCTTTTACGATCGAAGAGGTGTGTAGTTGTTGCTTTTTGACGTCTACGTGTGTTGTTCCGCTTAAGTACGGTATTGTATAGACGGTTCCCGACGAGCTGGTGGAAAATGGAATGCCCTTTACCAGTGGTTGTCATGACAAGGACGCAACGCTGTGGCCTTCAGCTGTACAGAACTTTAAGCGGTCCTCACTTCGTCTCACGCTCGACTCGCCTTGTACAGCGGTGCCGCAAGACTGCAGTTGCGTCGAAGTCTTGACCACCGTCGGCATTTGCGTTTCTTTGTTGCGTCACATTCTGTCCAACTTTTGCCTTCAACGTTCCATAATCTCAACGGAACCTTCTTTGTTCCTGCTGTTTTTTTTACATTTCAACTGTTCCTACAGTCCGTCCACATGAGTGACTGACCCGAGATTTTACCCCCCCCCCACCACTCGCACCCCATCTCCCTCCTACTACTCTCCATCTCATTGAAGAGACGGCTCAGCCCAAAGAGCTCACACAAGCCAGGCCAGGGATTACAGGCAGGAATTGCAGCCGGCCCAGGCTAGGGAAATCTTTTTTTTTTCCTCCAAGAAATGAAAAAATGTTGCTACAATATTTATAGCTAAGATACCACCATAAATAAGAATCAGAATGGTTAAAAGAATATATATCTCATTTTCCATTTTATACTTTGCAGAGTGCACCATGTGGCCGGATTTTGGTCAGTCGTAGCGATGTGAATGCAACATTTGATTACCGTGTAGTTGATCAATTGTTACATGCGGTGTTAAGTCGCGCAGCGTTGATGTGCATATTGTAATACGCAGCGTGGAGTAATAGTGGCGACTTCAGATTCATCGTGGGCTAGACCGCTCGGTGACCTTTGCTACCCGTGTTTTGTAAATATCTTCCATTGCCGTCTGTTGGGTTAAAACGCCACGCGTTTTTCCTAAAAAAGGATATCCTGCCTTTCATAGGCAGCGAGACAGTCTTCCGAGACTGCTCTCGTGTCACGGGCAACGTCGCGTCTCTGATGCGAGTGGCTGGCGATTTGTTTTCAAGTTCATTGCATGGGAGCTGTGTAGGATTTACAGTGAGCGTTGTTTAGATTCTCCCCCCCCACCCCCGTAACATCACGTTTGCTAAAGCATCGTTATCAAGTAAATTGTTAACTTGCTGAGCTTGCAACGTGCGTGTTAATATTAGCCAGCGTTCAGATGTTGGCACGAGTGCGTTACAAAGGGCGTAATTCCAGTCGTTGGTTTTACAAATAGCATCGCAGAAATAGTTGCTATAACACGGAGGATGACGGTGTCAATTTGGCCTAAGTGCATTTAATGTCACACACACACACCATGCACGGCAGCTATAATCGAGCACTCACCGCAGCTCGCCATACAATTTTTTATGGAATTTGCTACCCTATAGAAAGGCAACATACGGTTGTAACTTCTTTTTTTTATAATGTTATTCTCATATAATTTCTACCCGTTTAGGCAACGACAAAATCCACGTGGCTTCCAGTCCAATTCTTTTTGACACTAATGGGTTGTGGTTTTACAAGGTCGTTATTGATGGGTTGCAGTATGCATACCTGAGCACGGGGTGTCAACAGGGCTGAACAGCAGAACATTCACGAGGACAACGCGCTGCACATCTCGACAGAAACAGCAGTGGGAGGACAGCATCGGGTATAAACCTGTCGGGGTGTCCATGGCCTGTGGAACAATGGGACCCATGAACTTCGGATAATTCGAATACGATGTGGCCAGGATGGCATCTGTGCGTCTTGTGTCAAATCTGGTCAGCATGTGTCAAAATCTGGTAATGAAGGTTGCTCAAGGTTTTTTTTGTTAGTTCGTTGTCCTCTCCCCCGCACCTCCGATTAGTGCGGTTGGCTACGTACGATGCGAAAGAGGTTCAACATACATACAACCATTCATACACCCAGTTGTCTGTGCTCAGGTACATTTGTGGATAATCTCTCATACACACACACGTGCGCATAATGTAATGCGGCATTTGTATTATTTTAATCGGAGCAAGTTTACTAGATTTATTCGCTAATACTGTGTAACTTGAGCACATTTAGTGCACCGGCAGTGGGGACATTGTCTCAACAAAACAGCGTCCACACAAGGTTCATTTCTTCTAGATTTGAAGCTTTCGTGACTGCAAGGATTCATATTCTTAGGTTTTTTCGGTAAAGTCACGTAGGTAAAATTTTTTAATTAATAAAATAAAAATAAAATAAAAATCACGACGTTTCGGAGGCAACACAAGCTTCCGTCTTCAGGTGGAACCGTCACAGCACGATAGCTGTATCAAGTGAGATAAATTCCAGTAGCATCCTTATAAAACGAGCAAACGTCAAGTCGGTAGCTCAGTGGTGACGATGCAACGATGGGCGGCGGTTGATATCGAGAAATATCCTTGGCACTGCCAACGGCCTGGGGTTGTGTAGCCCGTGGTCTGAGCTGGGACCGGAGTGAGGGGGGAGCGGTTTGCACGCAGCTGCGTGCATCCATTTGGCAGCCTTTGAACGTTGCGCCCAGCGTGCGAGGATGACCAGCAGCAGGTGCCATGCACATGTTTTCAGTGACAACATTTGAACATTTGCAAGGGGAGAGTTGTGAGGTGTACCTTGATAAGCAACGTATTTTGTGGAGGGTTGTCAAAAAGGGGGAAGGGAGGGGGGGGGTGTTTAATTGATAGAGAAACAATATTTTAGGAAATTCTACCGGATAAAATGTCGTCATACTTATTACCAATGTGGTTTACCCTAATTTGCAATACTTTAGCAATTCTTATTTACACTCTTACCTTTTATGTTTTGTTGTTTGAAAAAAATAAATGCTCACCCATGCGAGCGCCTGGCTCTGCTTAAGAGAATTCCAAAGGGTTGAAGCAGCAGATAAATCTCATGGAACGGCAGACCAGGTCTCACTTTGAACTTGTAGCCAGAGCAGTATGGTTTCACATCAAAAGCACCTGCATCTCCTGGAACACACTGTGCCACTGCTCTTCCACAGGGCCACACTGCACCATGTGGAGTGGTGATGGTACCAAAATGTTACAGCGTTATAATTCACAGAGAACTTGCATGTGATTGCATCGGCATGCACAACAGTGGAATACAATCCATGATTTTTGAATTCTGAATTTACCAAACCAAGTTGTAATTTTGAGTTTGTGAATTGCAAGTTTCTGCAAGCCACAATCGAGAACACATCCGAGCGGACCTCCGTGCATGAGATGGAGCAATGAAATCGGGTCGCGTGCAAGAACTAGATGGATTGTTGCATCACAAGACCATGAGAGGTGAGAATAGCTTGGCGAGGCCTTCATCCAGTAGTGGATGGATCGTTAAGAAAGATCAATAACAAGTTTCTGATATAAAGTATGAGTTTTATATTCGTTTGAATTCGATCAAATGCCAATTAATCTGCAGTACAGGGCGAATATAAGGATACGTTGTGGTCTTTAGGTATTTAAATCTGTGCTGCAGAAAATTGTCTCATCCCTTTACAGACTTATGGTCACAAATGTGCATTCCATATTTAATTCTGAGTCCAGGCCACAGACCATTGCTGGCTGGCACCTCAAGATGGGAGGATTTCTGTCACACCCATTTACAAATTCCTGGTTTCCGCTGCATATTACTGGTAAGCCTTCAAAATTGAATTCGCAGAGGTGGCTGTCTGAAATAGTGATGTAGAGTCCACACACAGTCGCTGAGCCATATCACTTCTGGAATCTTGGGGCTTCAAGACTGGGTGCGTGGGAGTACAAAACAAAACAAAAATTCTCACATGCAGTGAATTTGATGGTCGAGGTTTTGTGGACTCGAGGGAGGAGGTGCGGGTCTGGTCCCTTGTTCAGTGTTCAAGGAAGAGCTCAGCAGCAGCAGCAGCGGCAGCATGATAATGCGAGTGTGGGAGACGAATTACTTGGACAGACATAGGGGACAGCTGAAGTGATCGGGTCAGGAAGTTGTGGAAGTATAAATTAAAGCTCCAGCCATGGGCAGGGCAAGGTGTCGGCACAGCCACGAGATGCGAGGGTGCTGATAGGAAGTTTCATTGCAAATGAAAAATACGATGGGAGGAAATGAGCCGAGGGTCAAAGCAGACGTCAAGATCACAGCCAGTTTTATCAAGTTTG